GCTTCCACGTGTTCGCGGTATATGACCATGCATGCCGAGCGCTTCATACTGTTCACACAGCCGGGAAGACCAAAAGCCAAACTGCAAAAGACCCAAGATATTGTAGTCCAAGAAAGCCAAACTTCAATGGATAAACTGAGGAGACGAAATGGCGAGCAGGGAGGGTGTAGCCGGGTGCCTATTGCCTATATTTGCCTGCATCTTTGGCTCCGGCCCTCGGGGAGGTGCATGTCGCTTGACCGGCGCCGCCGTCGCCGGGGCATCAGCTCGGGCTCCTTCCGTGAGACGCTGCGGATTCGCACGAGCGCTGAATCAGAAGAAGGCTCAAAAGCCGTCGTGGCTCCTGTGGCGGAGGGGCTGCCTCCTTCTCTGGTGAGGACACTGCCGAGCCCTGATCGCACAGTCCAAACGCTGCACTGCAGAGAACTGTGGACATGTGGTATGAGTGCGAGCTACCGGCGACATGACATGCCATCTGCAGGGCTTGTCAGCTCGCGCCTGCGGATCCAGCGGCGAGGCTGGCGAGTGCAGGCCTTTCTCTGCCTCGGCCTCCAGGGCAGCCTGTAAAGCGCACAAGAAGTGCTAAGGCTGCTGAGGATCCGGGGACTGCGCAATCACAGGTCATATAATGTCATATAGGTCAAAAATTTGGAGTAGGAAGCTGAGGAACCACCGCCTTCCGGAACTTCTGTCCGAAAGATGCCCGAGGATGCCCGCCTTGTTTGCCTGCATGGCGCTCCCATACAGAACCTCCAGCTTGCCCTGGCACCGAGTGGACCGAAGCATTCTGCGCAGCAGAAGCCCTCATGAGGGGATCCGGAGTTCGCAACCCTGTCCCATAATAATTTCAAGTCCGGGAGTCCTAGAGATCAAACCCCTCTCGCTTTGACATCGTGGGCAACTCTTCTCTCAGGTCAACGAGCTTTCAAGCTAAGGCTGTGTGCCAACGCATGAGCAATCGCTTGTCCTTGCCAGTCTGTCGGACTTCCTCCTCAACATGCTCTGGCACATTGCTGGCGAACCTCGTAACTGACACAACTACGCGATTGGCTCGATCACTCAGGGTGGTCCTGCTGAAACTAAGCATGCAGCCCTCTTGTGACGGAAGACTCCCGCTATTGATCTGCGACTTGACAATGTAAGGACCCGACAGGTGGAGGAAGAATGCCATCAGGCCAATCCTTGCATTCCCATGCAATTCGACTGAGGAAATACCGTGAATCTGATAACCTCAAGCCGCATCTCAAATGTCGGAATTCAAGGCTGATCTTCCATTCGAAATTAACGTCGGACACGGCTTCCGGTGCAAGGTGGTAGCATCATACTTCAGCATGTCAACTCATTCCAGCATTCTGCCCTCGCTGCCGGGCTGCGTGAGAATGCAAAGCCGGCCAGCCGGCGCGCGACGAAACCTGATGAAATCCTCCGAACGCCCTTGTCGTACTATTCCGCAGTCCGTTGTGTCGGCGTTTGTTGTGCGACTCGTCGAACGATGTGATCAGTCGATGAGCTTCACTGGACGCTTTGATAACAAACACTGGGACCCAGCAGTCGTCTGAAGTCTGCTGCTGGGAGACTCTAAGCAATCAACCAATAAATTACTGGAGCCAAAATAGCGGGTCGGCAGTTGTGATTCCTCGAAGTCTGCCTTCGGAAAGGTGTAAGACCTCACCCTGTAAGGTCTGCATACACAGTTCCATGTACCATACATACATACAGACATACATACCTACATACATACATACCTACATACCTACATACCTACATACCTACAAACCTACATACATACATACATACATACATACATACATACATACATACATACATACATACATACATGCACATATGCACATGTGCACAATATATATATATATATATATATAGACACATACAATGTAGATATACATGCTTGCCTCAATGTACCCACCAATTCTAGCCTGATGTGGCTTGCGAAATAGAAACCTGCAAAATCATAACTCTCATGGAGAAGGGACAAATTACGTGAAGCCCAAACGAAGTGGATTTGGATTTGTCGCCGGTGATATGGCATGGGACGAGTGAGGAGACGACGGCTGCACCCTTTGGTTGCCACTCGATTCACCGTCTTGCTGACCACGCGTGTAAACAGACAACGGTAGAGAAAAATACAGCACTGAAAAAATCTTGCATGTGTAAACTTCAACTACATCAGTCCGGAGATGTCATCTGAGTGCCAGCCCAAAGGAGGGCAATGAACGTGCGAGGGCATGCTCGCTCAAAGGGTCGTAGGCATCGCCTCTTAGACATGCTTGCTTGAATGCTGGCTTACAACTTTTGAACTACTGTTTAAACTTTGAAGTCGATTCCCAGTTTAGATCGTAAGACCTGGCAAAACTGCAAACTGCACGGTGATTGAACGGAATAAAAACCACGTGACTCCAGTTGATCTGCACACGTTTGAACAATCAATGAAGAACAGCTTGACCGCATGAAGCGCGCTCGTTTATCTCGCCTGCTATTTGGCATGACGTGCTCGGGTGGGGTGATCTGAGAAAGGTATCTCTGCAAAATTGCTTGCGGCGATTAGTGAAGATGCGTCGGCGAACACTGGATGATGCTAGGCTCTAGGATACATTGGTAACGGGGAGTCAATCCCATCATGCATGTTCAAAGTATGCAACAGCTTGTGAAAATTGAGAAATTGAGACAGCTGGAACGACTGGAACATTTCAATCTAGACAAGACGACTCAAGATTGCTATCGATCACAAAATCGATTCGATTGCGTTGAAGGTGGGATTCCTTGACATGAGTCAGACCAAAGCAAGAGAATCATTAAATTATTGAAGAACATGCCGCTGCGCCTTGTGATAGGTTGGTTTATTGAAACCAAGTGACGTATGCAATTTGAAGAACTATGTCAACTTAAACTTCTCATTTGCACATGTTGACTATTTGATTGCCTTGGTCAGGAGAAACGTGACAAGATCAAGACTACTACAAAGTATTATTGATCATGATGGTTACATTCATACCTATGCCCAGCTGGTAGCACCATGCATAGTGACGTAGTGCTTGAGGGCGCACAGCCACACACGCACACACCAAGACAAAAGCAAACTCGAGCCAAGGCCGGAACACAACCCAATAATGCGGAGTTCCCCCCCCCCCAAGTATCCCCTTCGGTCTTCGTAAGGTTTCAGGGATCCCCGGAACCCTCCCCTATAGCAAAGGGGTCAAAACCCAGAAACCAAAAAAGCACAACAAACAACAGCCAACACAAACAAAGCCAAACCACAGACAAAAACAAACATATCTGTGGCTTTGGGTTAGTCTGGGAATGTGTGTTGTTTGCTGTCTTGTCGTTTTGTTGTTTGCTGGTGTGATTATTTGGCTGTTCTTGTCGTCTTGGCTTCTTTCGCAGATGGACCCAAGTCCAATGTCGTCAAACAGAGCTCCGCTTGAACCCCTGAATGCTCTCCAACCCGTCAAAATCACCCGAACCTTCCACAAAATGGTAGATGCAGGCCCAAAAAAGGTTGAGTTAGGTACATGGGCAGGCGTACAATAAATGTAGGTATGAAAACTCACTGTATACGTATATGTCCATGTACGTTCAATATAATATCACGGAATACAATGCAAACACATTTACACACAGAAGACACACAAACATAGGCTTAGATCGTGCAACGGAAGTCAGAATATCAAACACGGGGCCCGAAAGGCTCCTGACAGCAAACCTCGTGGCAGAATGGCCACGGGAGACTGTCACGGGGCGTTGGACCATCCCCTGACACCTGACACAACGAGATCCATTGTACGTCCTCCTCCTCCTACGAAATTTGCAACTAATGCACATCTGAATTTACAAGCAGTATATGCACACCGTAGCAACATGCAAGTTTAACTGGCAAAAGACAGCCCTGCTTAGGAGCATCGACTGCTTCAGTACACCTCTTTTTCAGCCCTCTGCGCATGATGTCGGCGGCATTTGCACCGAAACTTGCTGAGCTTTTTGAAAGACTCATGCCATGCGGATAATCGAGGGACTGGCTGGCAGACTTCAGCAGGCAATGTCTCGATCTGCTTGCCCTCCACTGTCCACACCCTATGCCGGATCCGTGAAACGCCGTTTTCCTGCGTTCAGGCCGCTCTTGTGTCAGCTGCGCTGAAGCTACTTCTGGCCCTAGCAGCAAGCTCGGCGACAACTTTGCAGGTCCAAGGATGAGGAAGCATTGCAAAATACAGTGAGAGTCTCGCGAGCTCTGGCACGTGACCTCGGATTCAGAGTTGAGGACTCTGAACTGGCCAAGTAGTATGTACAATTGGCGGCCTGCGCCAAAAAACAAGCCTACTGGCCCTCGTCTTCCTCCTCCTCGCCCTGCAACTGGAAAAGGAAGGAGGCTGGAATACGTACGTCTTGACACTTTCTTCTGCTACTTTCCCAATCCTGCACGCCACCGCAAACAAAAACTACAGCAGACAGACCTAACACACAAGAGCAGCAGAGCCGCACCCGCTACCCACGAGACCCTCGAGCCTGGCCGCTGACCAGGCTCTGTGCCGCATTCACCATCTTTTCGTAGCGGTCTTGCTTCACCAACTGCGCACAGGCATACTTCCCCACCCGCAGTCATAGAGGCTTCAACGCAGTAGATGCAGTGGCACTGCACCGGCAAGAAGTCGCGAGAATCATGCTCGATGAAATGCTGGGACTGCGTGCACTGACATGCAGCTTCAGGAGCAGACAGGAAGTGAAGCAAACTAGCATACATTGAATAAGTTGGAAGATGTTAAGTGCTGCATGCCTGTTGATAGTGCAGTTGCGCTCGATGGCCATTGCTCAAAAACATTTTGCAGCGACCGTCCCACGGTTAAACGGTGAGGGCTCTGGCAGGAGCGGCAACAGCAGCAGCAGGCAGTTTCAGCAGCAGTCGCCCAAAACCACACCAGCTTTGAAAGACGTGATCCCCATCCAACACTGAACTGAAAATTCTGTCAGTAGTGCTCCGCCGAAGCTTATAGACTTGTGAGCATCTCCATGCTGAGACGAATCCATATCTCAGAAAGGGCTGACGTGTCTGCCAGTGCCTTGCTCTCCTCCAGCTTCTTGAGCTCCACCTCCCTTTTCATGATGTACCAGGCCAGGCCTTTCGCTTACGCGGCTGCTCTTCGTGGGTTCGCCTGCTGCGCTGCGACTGAGCTTCCCACTCTCCTGGTCCTGGTGGATGACCTTCAGAGACCTCAGCTCCCTTTGGCCCAGCTCGCGCTTGACCTGGTGCTTCAGGCGTAGGGCTTCAGGATTGTCGGTTTTCAGGTGCTAGAGCTGCTAGGACCTGCTGGGAACTAGGTGTGGGACCGTGCTGAAGTGAACAAGGAATCATGGAAAGTTCCGTCGTTCAGGGTGCTACTCATCTTGTCGTGTTCGAAGCTGCTCTAGTTGGCAGGCTCGGGGTCCCCTGCCAAGCTCCCGACAGGGTCTGAGACGCTTCAAGCCGGTACAGAGTGCTCTGCGTTAGCATCCGCCAAACAGTGCTTACGAAGGGTCCGGGGCTCCCTCTAAACTCCTGAAGTCGGGTGGAAATCTGTGAGTTCCTCCATGCGGCCTTGCCCTCGACTCTCAGTTAAGTTACTCAACTTCTTAGCCTCACCTCATTGAAAACACAACACACATGTGTGCAGGAGCAGGGTGCAAGGCCTTCTCTGCTGATTTGCCGAACTCAAGGCCTTTCTCCTAGCCGATTTGGCAAGTTGCTCTCCCACGTGTGCATGCATGAACTTCAGAGGCATCTGCGAAGCTTTCAGCAGGATTGAGAGAGACGGCTGCGTGCTTTCGAAGACCATAAAGCGATTCAAGTTCAGTCCTGTATCTGATGCTCCGCATCCTGCAGGATGCTGTCAATGTCGTACACCTCCTGGTTCGAGGCTGGGCTCAAAAGCCGTGGCAACCTTCGCCACCACTGAGTAGGATCACTGCAAGACGCAAAGTTCGCAGGCAAGGCTTTCTGGGAACTCAGAGGCGTGTCTCTTTTCCTTTGGAGCCCGTTGGCACTTCTGGAATGCTCGTTCTCTGATAAACAATGCTTTGATCGCACTTGAAGGCACGAGGAGGTGCCAGAACCTGCATCGATCATCGACCAGTGAACCGTCCTTGTTGTTCTTTTCGCTCTGCTCGCGCAGCTTGCTCTTCTCCTGTCGTCTCAGAGACACGTATTCACAAGCATGAAACCAAGCATGCTGTAGTGGCCTCGATGAAGGTGTATATCTCTTGCGCTCGTTCGATGGCCCACTTCTTGGTCTTCTCGGGAAGATACCTGCGAAAGATGCCCGGCCCGGCAGTTCTTTCTGTTGCACTGTCCCTGCAACTGCCGACAACAAACTTACCCTTGGCGTTCCGAGGTGCTGCCAATGCTTTTCGTGGACCGTCTGCTCCGTGATGAAGCTGCAGTCCAACGGCCTGGGGCAAAACACCCTTCGATTCCCAGCAAAAGGCAGCTTGGGATGCAGTTTGTCAGCCTCGGAGATGGTGGTTCCTTTAGTGGCTTTCGCGTGGCCATGTAGGATCCCACAATTGGATCCGTGGTACTTGTGACAAGATCCCCCCGATCACCACAACACCCTTGAGATGGAAGGGCAAAGCCGGGAGCCCAGCGAGTCGTCGAGCATGTCTGCGATGCCGCCTCAGGGACAAGGAAACCCTAAACCCTAAACCCCTAAACCCTAAACCCTAAGGCTTCGCACTGGAGGCTGCCCGGTGCTCTCTCGTCGGGCTGAGGGCCGGGGCCTCTCACGGACGGCGATCTTGGCGATCGTGGCATGCTCCTCACAGGGATGGTTCACTCACCACTTCTCAAACAGCTGATCTAGGAAGCCTACCATCGTGCAAGACGTTTACTATGTGACTACTTCACATCGACACCTCACAGAGTCACTGATGCGTCAGCCTTGGGGGCTGAGTTCCACAGCAGTGCTGAGCCCCTGACACGGACTCGTCGTCAAATCCTCAGCCACAGAATGGCCTACGGCCTACGGCTTTGGGATATACGTGTCAAGTACGACTCAAAGGAACAGGGCTCACAAACAGCCTAAGATTTTGCCGGTTCAGGCATACTACGTGGTCCACCTTCGGTCAAGTCCATGCCAGTCTCCGCCGTGCTTTCGGCATCATCCACCTCGATGCGCAAATGAGGCCCTTCCCAATACAGCAATCGTTTTTCCCCACTCTCACGGTGGCTGCTGGGCCAGGCCATGCAACCCTTCAACCCGTGAGCACCACGAGCAACCCTGCCTCGTAGGGATTGCCCTTGTCCCGTCCGACCAGACTCGCGAGTCCGGACCTGCCAAGATTGGGTGCGACTTGAGAGCTGTTTGGTCAGAAGAAGTTGATGTCCAGCTTTATGCGCCAATCCGTCTTATCCAAACCTACCTCTTCTCCATCACCGTCATCGACATCGCCACCCACTAGGCACACTCGCATCATTACACTCCTTCTGAGATTGCGGCCATCAACATTAACATCAACAACAGCGACAGCAGCAGCAGCAGCAGCAGCAGCAGCAGCAGCAGCGCCAGAAAACGAAATAGCAGCGACAACCACGACGACGACGAAATGACGGCGACGATGCCCATAATCACATCTACTAATGGTGAGACGCAGAATGATGACAACAATGAAACCAATATTGCTCACCGTAACCGGTAACACATGAATGAAATACCGACAATACAAACATGATGTCCTCAGCATCGTCACCATCATCATGATCCTTATCGATATGGAAACACTACACTGTTACAAATTGTTCCACACTGCTGAGGCTGATGATGACTATGAGATGATGGTGATGCATCGCACCGATGGCTCTCCATCAACCAAGAGTGAAACTTCGAAGGAACTTGTCCGCGACTGTCCAAGTCACGAAGTCCGAGGACGGCACTTGCAAACCTGGATGCAGTGCTTGAAGAAGCCCTGCCTGCAGTCTCAGAGGCCAAAACCGTCGACAGGTCTAGGATTTTGGGAGGCTCGTGGAGGCATCTGCCTTGCAACAATGCCTGGCCGAGAGCCGGCTCGTGTGGACATGCACGCTGCAAGAAGCACGCGCCAGAGCATTGTTCCAAGTCGCGCGAGTTCAATACACTGCGCTCTTTTCCTATTCCTTGGGCTGCCTTGGGCTGCTCTCTACCATGGCCCGATTGGACGTTTGCGTATAGGCAAAAGCAGCCGTTAGTCCTTCAGCTCTGGCGGAAACAAGAAAGGCTGGCCAGGAAAGTGAGAGCCGTAAACTAAGACTCGCTTTCAGATCTTGAACCCACAACAGCCGTCTCTGAAACCACTCGGGTAAGGCGAAATCCACAAAACATCGCAAAACCTTGNNGAAAAACTGGGCCCCCACAGCGTCCCCTTCTGGGCGAAAAATCCCAACATCCCGGCACTCAGATGCTAGGGCTCAGGCTGCACCTCACCACTGGCCTCCCTGGCCTCGGTCTCCTGGCCGTCTGCATACGAGGGAGAGGGAGGGAGAGAGTGAAAACAGATTCCTTGCTAATGTAGGAACCTGATTACGAAACCCTGGCCCTATAGCCCCAAATATATTCGGGTTCATATTCAGAACCCCAATAAAGGCCCAGGGTTTCTTGATCAGGTTCCAATGTTACAGTGTTCCCTTGCGAACTAAGTATTGTGTAGACAGAAACAGATACAGACACAGATATTCTTGGTCTGGGGTACAGCATTCGGCTTTTTTAGCGAGAGGACATGCGGCTCCACAGCTGCACTCCCTCGAGCAATGCGCAGGGGAGTCCTGCCGCATCCTCTCCTCAGTCTCTTTGTCCTGGACCGTTCGGACCAGTTCATGCTGAGCAGTCATGAGGCATGCGTGACAAGGTGAGGCGGACAAGCCAAAATGCATGTTAAACCGCTCACTTGCCATATCGTGTCCTCAACCTCGAAGTGTTTGGCCTCGGTTTTGGATGCTCAGATGGCGAGCAGGCATGCAACATCTTCGAGCTGGCGGCGATGATGGCAAAGAACATGTTCACCAGCACATACCTGCAAACCATTCTCATATGACTTCCACAACATGCTCGAAGTAGATAGCGAGATGCAGGCAGAACTGCGATTGCCGGCCTGAACAGGACCATGTAGGTGTACCAATAGAAGTAATACCTGAGACAACTGCAGGGACAGCGCCGAATGCTGTCGCATCTGCAGTCTATTTGCTCGACAATCGGTCAGTATCTGCCAGCAGACGCTGATGTTCCAGTCGGCTGGTCCATTCGGTCTAGTCCAATTCGTGCAAACCAGCAAACGCTGTCCAGCCACGTGTTGCTGCGCTGGCACTGGCAACATCGTGAACTTTGGCGCAATAGCGCACAGGCCCAAGCATATGCAGTGCACAACATCTTTCCAACGTTACATCCTCACGATCTTAGCGGCAACTCCAGTAAAGATAGCAACCCCATGATAATCACCTTTGCCACCATCACCACCGCTCAGCAAGCACCACAACCAGCATCTCCACGAGTACAATCAAGACCTTCATGTTTACAACCGGCAGCTTGGTTGTCATCATCCTGAACATCATGATCATCATCAGCACCATCATCATCCTCCGCCTTCGCCTCCTCCTCCTCCTCACCTCACTATCACCAACATTATCATAATCATCACGTCAGTCCAGCCTTCCGCTCCTCCTGTGCCATCACAACCGTCACGGGAGCACAAGACTGCAAACCACACCAACCACCACCACCACAACCACAACCGCAACAGCGACAGCAACAGCAACAACAAGAGCATCAGCAACAGCAACAGCCCCCAAAGAACAACACCACGAGCAGCAGCAGCAGCAGCAGCAGCAGCAGCAGCAGCAGCAGCAGCAGCCACAACCAACAAGCAAGAAACAAGAACGAACAACGACGACGACAACAACAACGGCCGCAATCAACAACCCACCACCAACCACCAACCACCAACAACCAACAACCAACAAACAACCACCACCACAAACAACAGCAACAACAACTACTACCACTACTACCACTACTACTAAGACGACTAGTACCACTACCACTACAACTACAAATACTACTACAACAACAACAACAACTACTACTACTACTACCACCACTACGACTACCACTACCACTACCACTACCACCATCACTACCACTACCACTACCACTACCACTACTACTACTACTACTACTACTACTACTACGACTACTACGACTACTACAACGACTACTACTACTACTACTACTACTACTACTACTACTGCTACTACTACTACCACTACCACTACTACTACCACTACCCCTACCCCTACCCCTACCACTACCACTACCACTACTACTTCTACTACTACCTACTATTACTACTACTACTACTACTACTACTACTACCACTACTACTACTACTACTACTACTACTGCTACTACTACTCCTATTGCTATTGCTACTGCTACTACTACTGCTACTGCTACTGCTGCTGCTGCAGCTGCGACTACGACGACTACTGCTGCTGCTGCTGTTACAACTACGACTACGACGACGACGACGACGACGACGACAACTACTGCCAACAACAACGAAAACAACAACAGCAGCAGCACAACAACGACAGCTACTGCTGCTACTGCTGCTGCTGCTGCTGCTACTGCCATTGCTACTGCCTACTACGACGACGACATACGAGTGCTACAGATCACTACATGCACTATCAAGACCAGTGCTGGTGGGAAATGTTTACAGGAGTATCATGTTACCGTCCTTGCAGACCCAACGCCATCTGAGACATAAGAACCAGCATAATACTTGGAACTATGAACCAGCCCTGGGCGTGCGAGTGTGGGGTTACCTCCTGTACTTGTCCACATTACTTCTCATGAGTAGCAATAAATGAGCTGACAAAGACTCAGTCATGGGGAGAGAACAACTTCAGTGCTAGCTGCTCGGGGCGAGTTTGGACAACTGCTGCTTTGCTCTCACTGACTGCTAGCAGTTAGCATATCATGATCAGCACGAATGGTCAGATACGACCACGTATGCTTCTACATGCTGATGGCATGCTTGCTGCAGTTGTTGTTGCGCTGGCCGTGGTTACTAAAATGTATGGTCAGTGCCATCCCAGAGAGCCCAATACCCCGTAAATAAGGAATATAGCTTAAATCACAATATGAAGGCCCCTATAATTTAAGGTATATTCCTTAGTTAAGGGTATTGGGCTCTCTGGGATTAAGTGGCACCAGGTCTGCTGTCACCTCTAGCACTTGTTTCTCGTCGATGGTCCCGAGGAGGGCTTCCTGGTTGTTTTGGAGTGTAGAGGGTCTACCAACAATGTCTTCATGAAGCACGACGACTCGAATTTGCCTCTGAATATTTTTGACTTCAATCGTGCCAGGGCACCGATTCGGTCCCTGAAGCGACACACTGCACATGTACCGGCGCACATGTGCACAAGTTGACCATTGATTGAAACGAGAACTGTGTTGGTCAGGGTCTTGGTATTGATTTGGACCAAGTTGGTTCCGGACCATTGCGAATTGGCATCAAAGCGTACCTTCGCGGAATCCCTTTGCTTTGCATCTCTAAACATTGCCGCGACCTTGTTTTCGGCAGGGTTGCCAGCCACAAAACCTTTAAAGGTTGGTCGTGCTTTCCATATTGGCTACAGAGCTTCATGCTGGCGAAAGACAGACAACACTGGAAAAAAGGTGTCGACATGTGCAGAGGCGGCACGGCATGCTTCCCCAAGACCAGTCTTGGTACCCTTTCGCCTTCATTGCCACTACTTGCGTCATTCCATATCAGTACCAGCTTCTTGTACTTCTACAGAGATTGAGCGTCGAAGCCAGTTTCATTTCCTATTGCCGTATAAGTGTGTGTGTGTGTATATATATATATATATAGCGATAGCGGGCTCCCATAGTGTGGTGAAGGTCCGGAACAATGCGTGGCATGGGTTTCGGGAGGTTTGGAGGGGTCCCTCCTACTCGTCGCAACGGTGGGAAAGTGCTGCGACATGAACACTGGAAACCCTAAACCCTAAACCAGACTCTTCAGTCGCGCAGAGAGGCGAGTTGAAGTCGTAGCTTGAAGCCAGCTTCTGCGGCTCAATATAGGGGCCTCAATAAGTAGAATAGGGTTTAGGGTTTAGGGTTTAGGGTCTCAATAATTAGAATAGGGTTTTTATGGGCTATATGTATACCAGATGTAATAGTAAGGAAACCTAAGGACTAATATTGATGATTGTTGAGGCTTCTCCCAGAGAGCCCAATACCCCTGAAATAAGGAATACACCCTAAACTGTAGGGGCCTGAATAAAATATGATTTAAGGTAGATTGCTTCATTCCCTTATGGATCCCTTTAAGGAACCCTTCCCTAAACCCCAAACCCCAAACCCTAAACCCTAAACCCTAAACCTGAAACCCTAAACCCTAAACCCTTAATTAAGGGGGTCCCTTGGGCTCTCTGGGCTACAGTAGGCCGCTATGAGCCAAGATCTTTCGACCTGGGGCCTCGGTCGGACACAGAACTTTTTAGGGTTTAGGCTTAGGGTTTAGGGTTTAGGGTTGAGGGTTTGGGGTTTAGGGTTTTTGGGTTGAGGGTTTAGGGGTTTACGGTTTAAGGATTTAGGGGTTTGGTGCTTTAGGGTTTAGGGTTTAGGGTTAAGGGTTCAGAATTAGAATGGGGTGTCCCTTAAAGGGATCTTAAGCAGGGTCTATAAGGGCTACTATATAAGGGTTTTTGGTTTGGGGTTTTATTGGTTTAGGGTCAAGAAGCTTATGCTGTAAGGCCAGTGCCCAGAGAGCCCAACTTACCCCATTTTTTTGAGGAATAGACCTTAAATCCTGGGGGCCTTACATGGAATATAGCTTCATTAAGGGTTTAGGGTTTAGGGTTTGGGGTTTAGGGAATATACCTTTAAGGGTTCCGTAAAGGGATCCAAAAGGGAATGAAGGAATCGACCTTAAGTCATATAATCTTCAGGCCCCTAAACCCTAAACCCTAAACCCTAAACCCTAGAATTGAAGGTCTATTCCTTATTTAAGGGCAGGGCCCTTTTGGGTTCCTCTTTAAAAGCTTCCTTAAAGGATTCTATAAGGGCTAGTTTAAGGGTTTGGCGTATAGGAGCCTTAATATCTAAAATAAGGCTTTTGGGTGTACTATACTATGAATCATAATAAGAAACCATCAAAGTAGTACTGGTAGTTATTCAAGGCCCCTATATTACCCAATGAGCAAGCGAATTAACCTTTCTTGTAGCTTGGTTTAGGGTTTAGGGTTTACCTGAACCCCAAAGAACCCACCTTTTTAGGGCTCCTTATTATGATTTTGTTGATGTCTGAACGCTTCTCTACAGAGCCTAATGGGGCTCAAAACCAGCTACCTTGAACTTTTCACGAAGGCTTCGTAAATAAACACCTGTGCAGGAAGCTTTCACTAAGTGTAGTATCTGTCCTTATCAGCGTGACAACTGATATTGCATTCTGTGAAAAAAAGGACCCTCCAAATTCGCTGTGCCATGGCCTTGTTCTGAACGATACAGAGAAGATTAGCATGGCTTCGCATGCACAAGACCAGGCTTTTTCAGGGAGCAGTTCCCAACAGGTTATGAGCGCCCAAGCTCACCGACGTGAGGGCAATGCGGTGCTGGAAGGTGAGTCGGCAGGTCCCAATTATGGTGCTGTTCATACCAGATCTCAAGGAAATGGTTCCACTCTTCAAGCTGGGGTGGATGGCCCAATGCCTAATGGGGTGAGTTTTGTGAGCTCGGGAACGGGTTTACAACCCTCACCAAGTGGCTGTGGTGGTGCGAGTTTTCTTACAGATCAAGGCGTGGACATGGGCACCGGACAGGCCGTACGAACCGGACCGGGCGCGACGAACGTTACGGGTACGAACGCGACCCCTACTACGACAACCCGTGCTGAGAACCCTCACAGACAACAAGTGGTGCATACTCCGCAGCAACCAATTCCGGAGCAGCAACAACCGGCGACTATGACTTCGGAGAGATCGCAGCAACAACAACCGGCGACTATGACTTCGGAGAGATCGCAGCAGCAACAACCAATGACTATAACTTCGGAAGGATCGCAGCAACAGCAACCAGCGACTATGACTTCGGAGAGGCGGCAGAGGCAGCGATCGGCGATTATGACTTCGGAAAGGTTGCAACAGTCAATCCCAGGGCACTTGCAATCTGCTGTACAACAGCTGTCTCAGCAGCGTGCCTCAGTTGTTCAGGCGGTGCAAGCAAGAGCCCAACGAGCCATTCATGGTGTGCCTAGAACTGACGCTTCGTCTTCAGATGAACCAGGAAATCCTTTCGCCCCGACTACCGCTCCTCCACCGTTGAGTCCAGGAATGGTGCAAGCAGGAGAACCTGAACGGCAAGGTTTGTGGTCGGTAACAAGGATTAGCGAGGTCCTCCATCGAAGGATCGTGGCTCCGATGATGGGGCAACCACCTGGCGGCGCAGTCGAGCAGGCTACCTTGGATGCTAACACTACACCATGGCAATCCCCTCCGGCTACAACACCAGCCCAGACCCCTTTGATGTCTCCGGAAGTCAGGCAAGCTATGTCAAGTTGGACGGCACAGCCAAGCTTGATTACCAGGCAACCAGGACAGGGACAAGGGCCAAGGGATGATAGTTCGTCTGCGAGCCTTCCACAGGAGTTGATCTTGGAAGAGGTGAGGAAGCAGGTGCAGCAGGCGATGTCGGATCGGGACGCGGAGGTGAAGGGTCTGAAAGTGCAGAATGAAGAATTGAAGCAAGCTTTGCAATCTTCGGCGCAGCTGCTTAATGAAATGATGGCGGCTGGGGGATGTGGTGGTGGCGGCTCTCCTTCGTTGCAGGCCTCAAGGGAACCTCCCGGCTTAGAACTAGGAGGCAATCCTCGTGGTGTTGATCGAAGCCTTCAAGCCCCACTAGAGGCTCCTCCCGATCGTGATGTCAGTGCTCAGGTACCTGGTGGCAATCCTTGGCTGAGGGGAAGGGCGGAGACCTCGACCCGCGTTGCAGCTGGGGGGTCATCAGATCGCCCCGGAGTTCGAGGAGGCAGTCCAATAAGAGAGACGACAGCGAAGACTGGGATTCCTCAATTTGGACCTCTGGAGGACTCGGGAGTGCGAGAGGCCGGCGAGGGGGACCCAAGATCCTCCTTGGAGCTACTGGTCCAGGGAATGCGGCAGCTGCAGCAGGTCTACATGGACAAGAAGAACACTGGTGAGGCTGAGAACCTCAAGGGCGTCAATGAGTTGGCCCCGCTTCCGGAGCTGACGGGCGACACGGGTGTGGAGTTCAGTGATTGGCTCTATGTGTCGGAACAGGCCATTGGGGCGATGTCTGACTCGGCATCGTTATGGTTTGAGAGAACTTTGGGGGCAGCCAGGGATGCGTATGCGCGCTACCAGATGGCAAGCCCTTTGGAGAGATTGGCCATCACCCCGAGAGTGGCCCCTGAACTCATGGAGCCAAGGTGGGTGAGGCTGGACCGTAAGGTGATGACCTTAGTCCTGGCGGCAATGCCCAAGATGGTGAAGGAGGACGCCGTGACACATCGGGTGACCTCGGTGGCTACGGCGCTTCACCGACTGCATGTGTTGTACTCCCCAGGGGGAATGGCTGAGCGCGCGGCTATCTTGAAGCACCTGGAGGGCACCTCGGCTGGAGAGAACATATCGGATGTGGTGGCGGCGCTTCGGAAGTGGAGGCGCTATTTGACGCGCTCGGAGGAGATGCGCTTAACGGCTCCAGACCCCAGCATACTTCTGAAAGGCGTGGAGACGATCATTGGCTCATGTGTACAACGGCACTCGGAAATGAGCTTCAGGTTGTCTTTGGCCAGGAATGAACTGCAGTTGCAGAACCGCCCCACAACCGAGACGGTGATGAAGTTTTACGACCACGCCCTGGCCGAGATGCAACAGGCATTACCTGTACGATGGGCGGCAAGACCAAGTGAACAACCGAGAATGAAGGCTCTGGGTGCGGGAACAGGGGAAGCCTCTTCGAGCTCGAGCCCTACAGCCTCTCCGCAACGTGGACAAAAGGGGAATGCAGCTTCAACGCCATGCAAATTCTTTGCAAGTGAATCGGGATGCCGGAGAGGACAGGCGTGTAAGTTCCAGCACGAATTTGCCAGTCGAGATGAAAGGCGAGCTCGGTGTTGGACTTGCGGGTCAAAGCAACACCGGCAATCTGAGTGCCCGGTTCGTGATGCAGCTAAGGCGGCCAAGGACAAGGGCAATGGCGGGAACAATGGACCAAGGGCGGTGGGCCCGTCGGCGGCGCCCCAACGGCTGGAAGCCAAGGCCACCGTCCCTACGCCTTCCACCACGGCATCTTCAACTTTGGCCACTTTGAGCTCTACGGCCAATGCAGAGGGCGGGCAGAATGTGGTCCAGGCCGAGCCCGTGTTGAATGCGTCGGGGGATGCTGTGCAGTCTCCGGAGTTCCAGACGTTCATGCGGGAAGTGAACACCATGCTGCAAAAGATGACCCGTTTGAACATGCTGGAGGTACGACCCCAGCTCAACTCTGAGTTGGCTCAGTTGGATATGCAAATGGCTTCCTTTGATGAGCGCATGGAACCTATGGCTTTACTGGATTCAGGCGCGACTCACCCCTTTCGTCGGCTTCCACCCGTACATGAGGATGGTTTGCATCCTGTGCAGGTTCAGTTAGCGGACGGCAAGGCCATAACCTTACAGCAAAATCGAGCAGGGACCTTGATGCCGTTGAAGGAGGCTGTGGCTCAGGAGGAGGGTGCTACAACTATAGTTCCTTTGGGGACATTAGTCCAGGAGTTGGGATGTACCGTGAACTGGGACCGGAAGGGCTTACATGTGCATCATCCTCGGCATGGAGTTATCTCTACGCACGTGGCGGGCTCTTGCCCATTCATTGGCGAGACCAAGGCGCTGGAGCTAATTGGAGAGATCGAGACCCGAAAGCTCGAACAGCTCAAGCTGAAGACTGTGCAGACTCAACTCATGATGATTGGTGTCGAGGCCGAGCTGGGCTATGATGTTCGAATGAATGAGTTCCGGCGTACAGGTTCAAGAACGGAGGGCCTGAAGGCTTTGATGGCAAAGGACTCGGTGTTTGGAGAGCTCTCGGAGGCCCAACGGTGCATGCTGGTCCAGGACATTGACTTGAGTGACGAGGCCGGAAAGCGCTACTTAAAGGCCCTACCTATTCGCCGAGCGATGCGAAGGAGACTGTTGTGCACCAAGTGGATGGTCAACCTGTGTTCCGGAACCGGGGACCAAGCGGGGTTCAAGGCTCTCGAGAGTGAGAACATCACCCTGCTGGATGTGGACCTAAGGCTAAGCCGAGCCTTCAACTTGAGGGAGCCAAGCGTTGCCTACCGTGCGCTGCTTTGGGCTGCAATGAGGGGTCAATTGGAGGGTGTTTTCGGGAGTCCACCACGAGGAGAAGGAGCGGGCGAACTTCTTTTGAAACCTTTGTTTCTATGGTGGTTGGCCAA